TTTGAGACAGGGTCTCCCTATAGCCCCAGCTGTCCTGGAATTCACTATGTAGACCAGGCTGGCCTTCAACTCACAGAGATCCGCCTGCCTCTGCCTCCCGAGTGCTGGGATTGAAGGCGTGCGCCACCACGCCCAGCTTTATGTTTTATATTTTAAGGTCTCTCTGTAACCCCAGCTGACCTGGAACTCACTATGTAGACTAGGCTAGCCTAGATCTCAGAGAGATCCGACTACTTTGTCTCGTGAGTGCTGAGACTAAAAGCATGTACTACCACACCTGGCTCCCTTCTTTTCTTTTTTTTTTTTTTTTTTTGACCTTTTGAGACAGGGTCTCCCTGTAGTCCCAGCTGTCCTGGAACATACTATGTAGACCAGGCTGGCCTTGAACTCACTGAGATCCGCCTGCCTCTGCCTCCCAAGTGCTGGGACTACAGGCGTGCACCACCATGCCTGGCTCTTTTTTTTTAAAGGATTCATTTTACTTTTACTTGCCTGTATTGGGTGTGTGTGTGTGTGTGTGTGTGTGTGCCTGTCTGTCTTTCATGTGTGTGCAGGTGCTCTCAGAAGTGAAAAGGTGGTGTTGGACCCCCTGGAGTTGGAGTTACAGGTAATTGTAAGCTGCCCGATATGGGTGCTGGGAATTGAACTCAGGTCCTCGGATGAGCCACAAGTGCTCTTGACCATTAAGCATCTCTCTGGCCCTCTTTTTACCTTCTTCATAGTGTCTTTTGATGCACAAAAGTTGTAGATTGATTGCCTGATTGGTTGACTGATGGACTGGTCATTTTTCTATGCTGGGGCTCAAACCCAGGGACTTGAAATACCCTACAACTGAGCTGTGCCTACACCCTAGCCCTGGAGATTGGTGTGTGTGTGCACATGTGCAAATGTGCCTACCTGTGGGAGTGCACATGCACGTGGAGGTCAGAGGTCAACACTTGGTGTCTTCCTCAGTCCTCTCCACCTTATTTATTCATTTATTTATTTTAATTTTTTTGACACAGGGTCTCACTACGTAGTCCTGGTTGACCTGGAACTCAATATATAGACCAGGCTGGCCTCAAACTCAGAAATATCCACCTGCCTCTGTCTCACAAATGCTGAGATTAAAGGCGTGTGCCACAATGGCCAACCTTTTATTTATTTATTTTTGAGACACAAAAACCTAGGAACCTAGGACCCACAGATTCAGCTAGATTGTCTAGCTGGCAAGCTTCGGGGATCTAGCTGTCTCTGTTTCCCCAATACTGGGGTTATAGATGTGCGTTTCCATGTCTGGATTTTTGTGGATGCCTACGAGAGATTGGAATTCAGTTTCTCATGCTTTTGGACAAGCATTTTACCAACTAAGCCATCTCTTCAGGCCCTAGACTATCTATCTATCTATCTATCTATCTATCTATCTATCTATCTATCATCATCTATTTATCTATCTATCATCTATCTATCTATCATCTATCTATCTATCTATCTATCTATCTATCTATCTATCTATCATCTATCTATTTTGAGTCTCACTATGTAGCTCTAGCTGCCCTGAAACTCACTGTGTAGATCAGGCTGGCCTCAAACTTACAGAGATCTGCCTGCCTCTGCCTCCTGACTGCTGGAATTAAAGGTATATACCAACACACTAGGCTATAATCTAGCAGTAATCTGTTTCTTTCAAAATGGCTTATCCTTTTTTTTTTTTTTTTTTTTTGAGATAGGGTTGCCCTGTAGTTCCAGCTGGCCTGGAACTCTCTATGTGGACAAGGCTGGCTTGGAACCAACAGAGATCCGCCTGCCTGTGCCTCCAGAGTGCTGGGGACTGAAGGCATGCGCCACCACGCTTGGCCCAAAATGGGCTATTCTTTACTGTTGCTTCTGTTAACCATCAGAAGAGTCACTGGTCTAGGAGTCAGTTTTTATATTACTATCGAGACTTGGAAGGCTCAGGTGCCACCAGGCAGGAAGTGTAAGTTTGGAGCCCCATCCCCTAATGACTCCCATGGCCTCCAGGAAGCGATACCTCAGACGAAGGGCAGCTCTAGGACACCTGAACACTGTCTTACTGGTGGCCAGGCCCCTGCTCCAAAGACGGCTGAAGCTACAGGTAAGAGGGTTTGGGGAGCATCTGGACTGGGGAAGCTCAGGGTAGAAGCCAGGGGGCCTTAACTGGCCTAGTGGCTGAATCCTGACGTGTCTCCCCTTTTAGCCTGAACTTGTAGGACTGAGACCTCAGAGACCATTGCTTCCCAAACTCTTCCTGTTTCCCTGTCTGGCCAGGGCAGGCTGGGGCCCCAGCACCCACTATCTTCACTTTCTCCCAGTCCCTCCAGCCCCCTGTGTGCCCCCTCTGCTCTCCATCTTGCCTGATGACTCTAATTTGAGGGCCATAAAGCAGCTCAAAGGTCAGTGCCCACATTCTGCCTCCTCCCTGGCTCCTCCCAGGCCGGACTTTGTCCGCTGGGACCATTACTTCCCTACTTCCTTACATCTTCCTGGTTCCCTAGCAGACAGACAGTGACATCCATAGCCTGGAGGCTGGTGAGCACTTTGGAGGGTCAGGGGTGGGTAGAGACAGGCGCTTGTCAGGCAGTGTGCCTCCAGTGACTATGCCCCTGGTGACTGCACTGTTCCTTGGCTACCAGCAGAGTCTCTGGAGACAGGAGGGGACACTGACCTGCTGAGTTGGGAAAGTGCTGCTGGGAAACTGCTGGTGACTCCTTACTTATGGGGTGGCAGGGGGGCATTCGTTCTTCCTGTATCTCCCCCACAGCTTAGGCATTCGGGTGGCTCTCACAGCTTGGAGGCCTGGGAAAAAGTGCCAAGCATGGTAGGTGTTCTGGAAGCAGGGGGTCTTGTGCAGGGTGTGAACCCCTGAGCTTGGCACAGCTTAGGGGAGGGTGGAGCTCACAAGGTGCCATCGGGGTCCTGTCCATCATGTGCCACCTAAGCAGAGGACTGGGGTGCCCTGGTTTCCTTCAGATGCTCTGGGGACCCTGCTCCTTTGTCTTTGGAGGAGTTATTTATCATCTTGAAGATATGGCGGGACACTCAGTCCTTCTAAGCCATACCTTAGTTTCTGGTAATTTGGTCCTCTTCACCAGGACCTGGGGCGCTTGGAGATCCCAGCTGAGCTGGCCACCATGCTGAAGACAATGGAAAGTGAGTATTCTTAGTGCCCCCAGGCCCTTGACTGGGTAGTGTTTCATTGGTCCATATCTGCCTCTTCCACCCCCGCCACCACCCTCAGTTGGAGCTGATGGGGAGGGCGGGAATTTGGGTGTCTCTAGACTTCCTCTTGTGCTCCTTACTAGGACACCAGGACACCCTCTCTATGAACATCACTGAGTGTCTGCCTCCCGAGGTTCCTGCCCGGCCCAGCCTGACTCTCCCTCCAGACATTGACCAGTTTCCCTTCTCCAGCTTTGTGTCCACAGGCTTTCAGGTGAGGCTCCTCGGCCTAAGGGCTTTCTGCTGCCCAGCTCCTCCAGGCCCTTACCTTCTGCCCACCGTCCCCTGTGGTCATCAGAGGTGCTTAGAAAGCAGCTCTTAAACAGAAGCATCTCACCACAGAGTGTTATTTAAGCCATAAGGCCACACCTTTACTATGCCTGGGGCATTGTCCTACCCTGGAAGCTATGTCCTTAAAGAATGTTTAACAAGAGAAGCTTAAGGACAAGGGAAACTGTCCTGGCCTATGAAAAACAAGATTCACTGCACACATAGGAGAATCCTATTTTAACAACACAAAAAGTGGCTGCTGAGTGTGCCTATCTAGGTATGAAGAAAGAGAAGCTAACTGCCAACTGGCTTGCTCTGGCAGGGCATGCTAACAATGGCTTCTTATTGAAACAGGGTCTGCTATATAACTCAACTTGACCTTAATCTTGCAATCCTGCCTCCCTAATGCTGGACTGCAGGCGTGTGTTACCACATCTAGCTGTTGTTGAGTTTGAGATAGGATCTCCCTGAGTAGGCCAGGCTGGCCTTGAACTCACAATCTTGCCTCAGCCTCCCAAATTCTAGTATTACAGGAGTGTGAATCATCCTTGAGTAATGGTGGGTTTTCTTCCCTCCCTCCCTTCCTCCCTGCCTCCCTCCCTCCCTTCCTTCCTTCCTTCCTTCCTTCTTCCTCTCTCCCTCCTTTCCTTTC